AAATTCAGGTGTGATTTAATTGACCGTGGCTCTCCTTGCCCACATGTCAGGGTATTAGGGTACCTTCATGGCTCCAATGTACAGTATCTGGAACTGACTCAAAATTCAAATTTTTGCTTGCAAAAATTGACCAAGTAGGAAAACATCCCAAGTTGGGACACTCGTAGTTGAAGGTAGTAATGGAAGAACAACTTCGATTAATATAGTGCGAGTGAGACGCCTTGCTTTAAACGTTTAATTGCCCTGATAAATGACGGGATTATCCACGGGTCTCGGATCTCAGCGGGAATGCCAGGATCATGCCAGGAGGGTCCTGCAATCAAAGGCTGCCCGTTAAATGCTCTCACGCCATTTCGAGGAAAGACACGACATCCCCACCTCCTCCCGGCACCACTTTTGATGATGTACATGTTTAAGAGAATTGGCAGGTTAAGGTTTCAGCAGTTGCTTTAGGAATTATTCGTGAGGATGATTCAGTGCATGTTACCAGCTAAGGTTACTGCCAACTTGATCATAAAACACTTTTTGTAGAGTAAAAAAATATTTTTGTGATATTGATCAGGTGTGAAAATAAAGACAGGTCAGAGAATTAAAATTTTCACCTCTGAGGAAGGATTTAAAGATGGCACTTGTAATTTAGTTAAATGTCTCTTGAGCAAAACTTTTTTTGTCGTGGTTAAGCTTGGTGAAAGGTTTTTTTTTTTTTTGCCAAACAGAATTTCATGTTGTAAGCAAAGTAGGGTGCAAAGAGCATTCATTAGCTGGGGGACATTCATGTATAGCTACGTATCATCAGTCTAACTGTGGATGTTCACTCCATCCTTCCTGATGACACTGCAAAATAGTACTGGACCTCAAATTGATCCCTGCAGGACACCACGTTATTTGATAGACTTTCAATATGCATGCATCTTAACTTACTTTAGTTTTTTAATACACTTAGGATTATGTAAATAGTACACATTCTTTGCAAGAAAAAGTCAAAGTCCTAAAAATACCTTTTAGACTTGTGGGGCCATATACGCTGAACACATTGTATGAGAAAAACAGGGTAGTAAGAAAAACACGGTCACCATATTTTAGACCAATAATTTTTTTTCCCCAAACAAAAAGTGCTAATTTTATCGGAATCTAGTCATATTTTGGTGCAAAAGGTTTCACACTTGTTTTGTTGTTTTATTAACAAAAATTCAACTTGAAGCTTAACAACTAAAGACTGAAATATGAGAATAATGTAAAAGAATCATGAAATATTTTTGAAGAAAAACTAGAACATAATGCTGCATTCATTCATATTATTATGGACACTGTGCAAATGGTCTGACTACATTAACTAACTTCTTTCTCCCTTTACAGGAAGCAAAAACACCGGGGCAGCAGGTACACAATCAAAAACTATACAGAATTAAGAGAGAAAAATCCATAATTATTAACAAAAATTTTAAATGTTTTTATATCTCTTCAGAGAAGCTGCCGCCATACGAACCCAACATCCCCGAACCAACCGCCAGGGCAGACTTTCTCAAATGTCAGTAACTACACACTTCATACAATTAAAAAGACAGACAGACAAATATGAATACTCATCCATTCAATGACCACTTGATTAGGTACACAAACTAGTGCTCCATTATAAAAATAGTTCCAAAAGAGTTGCAATGTTTGCTAATAGCTAACTCGCTCTGGAAACGCAAAGTCCGCGCTAATCGGCGCTATCCAATGCTCGCAATTTCTCTGCTAACTAGCTCTATGTCAACTTGCCCTCTATCAACTAGCACTGTGCTGACGATTATTACTCTCAACGTATACCGACTATGTGACAAGTTACGCACTAACCGACACTGTTCGATGCTATCTATATTGTGCTCACTAAATATTGTTTAAGCATCACTGTTCGGTGCTCATGATTTTGTACTGATTAGCTGTACATCAACTTGCTCTAAAATAACTACCCTTGTGTCTAATTGCTCAGTGCTAATTAAAATGATGCAAAATGATGCAAATTAGCTGTGTGCAACTGTATGATGCAAGCCATTCAGCGTAACATAGCTACTTGTGTGCCAAGAAGTTCTGCACCAACCGATGGTGTCCAGTCTAACCTTTGTGCCATACTAACCATAGCTGTGCTAACTAGGTCTACGCTAACGGGACCTGAAAGCAACACTGAAGACTTAAAAGTCAAAGTTGATGTGGCATCAAGTGCTTTTGGATCGATGGTGGACAAGTTTGTTTCATTAATCCATCTGCACTGGCTAAAGTATTGTTGACTTCCTGTCCAGACTGGATGCCGCTGTCTTTGGACGACAAAACAGCGCAGAAACTGCTGTGGATCTCAGAAAACGGCGCTAAGGTGGCCCGCACGTCTGATGCCGTCTGTCCGTATCCAAACCGACCGGAGAGATACGAACACTCGCCACAGGTCAGCAAGTCGGACATTTTGCTTTCCAGCTGACATTTTAAGGTTCCTTGCCGCAGCTGCTTCAGACAAAATATACTCCTACAGACTTCAAATTCAGTCCCCCGAGCCAAATTCACTAGCAATATGGAATTTGGTGGAGGTATCACTGGGTAGAACTACAGAAAAAGTAATGCAGTCATTACTTAAAAAAAACAAAAAAACCCAAACAAACAAACACAGCAAGTCTGCAACTTTGCTTTGAAGCTGCTATTTCCAGGCATCCTTCACCGTTTTTCGAGGAATATTTTTTAAAATCCATAGCAGTTTACTGCTATGGATTTCAAGTATTATCTTGACAAAAAGCTAACAAATTCAATTTGACCAAATGTCCACGTTTTAGAATGACAGTTGTATACTTTTAAATCAACTGTATTTTTTGCAACATTAAGTCATATTTTTCAAGGAGTCATCTCTTTTTAGCCATAAAGAGAAAATGTTACTCATCTTAAAAACAACATTATAGTAATAGATTTCTTTTAATTACATTTTGAAAATATTTGACCCAAAATAATGGTTTGTGGGCGGCCCGGTAGTCCAGTGGTTAGCACGTCGACTTCACAGTGCAGAGGTACCGGGTTCGAATCCAGCTCCGGGCTCCCTGTGTGGAGTTTGCATGTTCTCCCCGGGCCTGCGTGGGTTTTCTCCGGGTACTCCGGTTTCCTCCCACATTCCAAAAACATGCATGGTAGGCTGATTGTACGCTCTAAATTGTCCCTAGGTGTGAATGTGGGCGTGGATGGTTGTTCGTCTCTGTGTGCCCTGCGATTGGCTGGCAACCGATTCGGGGTGTCCCCCGCCTACTGCCCGAAGACGGCTGGGATTGGCTCCAGCACCCCCCGCGACCCTAGTGAGGATCAAGCGGTTCGGATAATGAATGAATGAATGAATGAATAATGGTTTGTTTGTGACTGATAGAATTTTTTTTTAGTAAAGCCAGATAATTCCAGGGAATACACACAATTAAATAGGTTGTTCTTTTTTTTTTTTTAAAAAAAAGGTGTATTTTTATAATGATAAAAATGCTATAGTTTTACCCTGCAAAAAGTCATTATTTTTAGAACAAAAAGCTATATAATTTGAAAAATGCCAGAAAAGTCCATCTTTTCTCTCTCCCCCTGCAAAGAAAGCACTTACAGTAATTGATTTTTGGAAGAAGTTATGTTTTTCTGACAATTAAGCATTTTTTTGGGGGGGGGGGCAGATAAGTTCAGATCTGCATCTGCAAAGGTTCGATGTTTTTTTCCCCTAAAATACTTTACTTGTGCTTGGACTCAGAACAGATGCGACTCTGACCTGGCATTCCCATCGTTCAGGTGCTGTGCAAGGAGGGTCTCCTTGGTTCGCGTGGCTACTGGGAGGTGGACTACGACGGCTGGGTGGTGATCGGGGTGGTGGCAGAGAGCGCCCCCCGGAAAGATGGCCCTTGCGGACTGGGAGAGAACACCAGCTCCTGGGGTGTGGGCTGGTCGGGCTCCTGCTACCAGGTGTGGCACAACGGCGAGAACGTGGACGTGGTCCTGCCCCTGTGCCAAACGCTGGGCGTGTACGTGGACCAGCCAGCCGGCTTCGTGAAGTTCCTGGTGGTGGAGGGCGAGGGCGACAAGGAGGTGAGGCTGGTGCACAAGTTCAAGATCGGCGTTCAGGAGAAGCTCCTGCCCGCCATGTGGGTCGGCACAAACTCCTTCTGCCTCATTCGGAAAAAGGATCAGTGAATCACTCGGCTGGAAGCTGAAACGAGCGGACATTTATGGTGGAACAAGCACTCGAGGAGTCCAAGGTGAAAATAGCGAGTCTGTGTTCATGCCCGATTGTTTTATTATACTTTGGTGGTTTTTTTTGTTTGTCTTTTTTTTTTCCAAATTAGGCACAGGTGTCTGCATCTTTGCACGTGTAGTAGAGAGCTTGTTTTGCATCTTTCAGTGTGCCAAATAAAGTCAACTTCTGTATAATAACTCGCTCCCTCTTGAGGAAAAAGTCGCATTTTTTTTGTTATCATAATTTTTAGTGAGGTTGTAGTTTTCCAAGGATGTCAGATTTTTCTGACAAAAAAAGTTATTTTCAGAAAATAGGTCATATTCCCACATTGAAGCCTACTTTTAATATCATGCTGACATTTTTTTGAGATTTTTAAACAATAAATTTTCAAGGAAGAAAAAAATTATCTATACCGATGTTGAATTTTCCCAAGGATGTCACATTTTTCAGACAACAAAATCACATTTTTTTTCAAGATTACATAAAATTCCGATATTTGTCTACTTTTAATATCCTGTGATTTCAAAGCCATGACTTTAAGGAAAAAATGGTCTCTATTTAAAAATGTAGTCATAATTTTTCTAACTTTACGAGATTATGTTTCAGATTTATTGACAAAAAGTATTTTTTTAAAGCTAAATTACTACTTTTTTGTTGCTTTTACCATAAAAGCCATTTATTATCTTTTACAAAGTTTGTTTGCTTTTTTTTTTTTTTAATTACCGGTAGGTAGAAGTCACTCCTTCCCAGAACCCCCAACCCACTACTTTTCAGAGAGCTCACATCGTCTCGCTTGGTGTTTCTCCTTTATTAGAAACATAAAAGAAGAACTTCAACAACATCCACCCAAATGCCACTTGACATTTCACTTTTACTTTCAATCTAACTTTTTCCGTCTCACTTCTGTCAGTCTCGGTCATTCGTTCAACTTCAAAAAAAACCCCAAACATTTAAAGTACAATCATTGGACGAGTCAGTCACCGATTTGCAAAGTACAAAGAGGCAAATATGTAAATTAGGACTTATGAATGATGAAATATGAGAGGTGCTGCTGGTGTGCCAACATGTTCAACATTAGCTTTTCACATTTTAATCTTCAAGGAGAACAAATGTTTTTGAATGAGGGCCTGACGACGCACCAGGAGCCATTGTTACCATCGGTCTGCCCCATGCTAACAGAGCACACGCTAAACCACATCAACAATGATGGAAGGTGCAAAAGATTAACATTTCAGAAGACCGACACAAACGTTGTTACGTTTTGATTCATTTGTGCCGTTAGGTAGTTAGGTTATCTTAGCTTATTTTAGCACCATCAATATTGTGAGATAAATAATCAAAATCTTGTTTTGAGGTATTTTGGTTTTTAATCAAATCCTAACAGGTTGTTTTGTAGAGTCCATAACACTGTGACCTAATTAGCGACTACCGGTACTTTGATTGGCGAGCAACTTTCCCAGCCAAATACCAAAACATATTTTACTTTCATCTTACTTTTTGTGTCCAAAACAAATGGTGATATGTATTTTGGCAGATTAGCTAGCCTCCTGCTTGCTAACCTGATGCCAAGCTAATTTAAGCAGGCTAAATGTTGTCATAAGAGATGCTAGTCTGATCAATTATGTGTCTGCATATGTGTGCTTCTGAAAAGTATTAAGTTGTTGCAAAAATGTTATTTGGAGGAGTCAATCTTTTTTGTAGCCATTTGTAGCTGGCTGATGAATTGCAAGTTTTGCTGGTGATTTTTCTGCGTCACAGCATTACTAGCAGATTTTTTTTTAATACTTTTGTTATCGTAGTAGTCATATAGAAAACAGATTGTGTATTTTGGAGTGTTTGCCTGCTCTCTCTGGCTATGCTAATTAACTCACACACATGCTAATCTGATCAATTTTTGTGTCTGTACTCTTCTGAAAAGTCATCCTTCCATGTAGAACAAACTGTGAAACACTTTTTTAAGATGCTAAGTAAAAGCTAACATAGTTACAACCTAAAGTGTAAATTAGTGTTTTAATTGCAATTATTTAATATTTTAAACGCTGTGGAACAGTTCTACTCACCCGTGTGCACATCGAAAAACCTTAGCATGTAGGATTCACATAGAGCGTGGGTCATCCAACAAAGTAAACAAAAAACATTTTTTAAAAAGAAATTGTGGCGCCCCTTAGTGTGGCTGTGACACATTAGTGTAGCATTTCTGAACTTTCCAGGTGCGTCGTCAGCCATTTTTTTGTGTTGCATTACCTCCTTAAATTAGCGAGAGATGAATGGAGGTGCATTTTTTTCTCCCACGCAGCTTTCACATAGCATACGACTGTTGCCACTTGCGCTCGCACTCAGTGTTTGAGCGAGAAATCACCAGTGTTAACTCTGGGACGTGGCAGGGCCCCGAACATTTCTGTCCCATCAGTGGCACCAGGAGCCAGAAGGGCCTTCATGCTGGCGGCAATGTGCTCCAAATCGGCGCAGCCCACCTGAGGGGACACATATGGAATGCCGCATTACACAAGGAAAATTTTGCTTAAAAGAGGCCATTTTAGGTGGCTATTTCCAAGGGTCTGAAATGTAAGTTTGACTTAGCAATGTAAAATAAATGTCAGTTCAACTGTGCAACAAGAAATTTGGGAGGCATGGAAATCGGCCATTTTGACTTAATAGGGACATGTCAAGGGTCCCATTCCAAGCGTCCTTCGAAGACACTCCTGGAATATTTTGAAAAATGAAATTTGAGAGTTAACCACATTCTGGGGATTTCCATTGAAAACAATTCATCCTCCCTTCTCTGACATTCCTCAGTCTTCTCAGCTGGACCTGAAGCAGATGTCATCAGCGGTCACATGAAGCAAGGGAGCTGTCACAATAGTGTAAAGAATGCTGTCCTTGTTTGCGTCTTAAAACCGATCAAGTGACACCTCCGTGTCGACAACACAACATGAAAACAAACAAGCATTTTTCCCCTGTATGCATCCATCGCCTTCTTCTTCCCAAGACTGCATAAGAAACCTATCCATCCATCCATATCATGAATTCAGGCGTTACCTTTTGAAATCACAGTGTTCCTCCATCAATTTATCCATTTACCTGTCCAGTCTAATGTGTTGCCTTTTGGCACAATCCCAAATTACATTCTCAGTCTGTCTGTCCTTCCGACTCATCAAGAGTTGCCTTCAGGTACAGTCCGAACACAGTGTTCCTTACAATACTGCCTGCCACAAATTTGCTGGTCTGCCTGTCCTTCCATCCAACTCAGTAAGTCGGGAGTTTCCTTTAGAGACAGTACGAAATCATGGCGCTTCTCACGCATTGTTTCAAATGTCCTTCAACGTTTAGGCAATCTATCTCGCTTTTCTGTTAGCCCGTCCAACAATCTTGTGTTGCATTTAGGGACAAGAAGATATTCCAGCATTCCCTATCCATCTAGCTAAGTAAGAAGATATTCCAGCATTCCCTATCCATCTAGCTAAGTATCTATCTATCCATTTAAGTATCTACCTACCTATCTACCTAACAAAATACCTACCTAACTACCAAAATAGCTAGCTACCTTCCTACATACCTAACTATCTACATACATACCTACCTACTTAAAACCCACCCACCCACCTACCTACCTACCAAGATAGCTAGCGAGCTAGCTATTTACATACCTACCTACCTACATACCTACCTACCTAACACCCATCCACCCACCCACCTACCTAACTACCTACGACCTATCTACCTACCTACCTACCTACCTACCTATTGACAGTGACATGAAAAAGTATTTGCCCCCCTCCTGATTTCTGTTTTTTGTTTGTTTGCATATGTATCACACACAAAGGTTTCAAATCATCAAACCAATTTTAATATCACTCAGAGTTAACACATGAAAGTACAAAATGCAATTTTCAAACATAACTCAGGAGGGCACAAATACTTTTTTTCACGGCACTGTGCTTACCTACGTCCCGTCCTACGTACCTACCTATCAAGCTAGCTATCTGTCTTTGTGTGTGTACCATTAATACAAGTGTCAGAATGTGTGTTATTTTTACCCGTTCTCCGCTGTTGCCTTCCGCTGGAGCCACCCGCCCCCCTTTGCACCCCCATACAGGCACAGAGACGGGCAACGAGCGGGCCAGCGCCATTGGGTGGGCGTGCCGTGATGCGTGCATGCTGTGGTGGCCCACGGCCATGCCCCGTGAGGGCGCTGGCGCCTCCTCGCTCAATGAGCCTGCAGGACAAATAGGAACTTGTGAACGGGCGGTTTGTGTTCGTGGACAAGTGAGCGGACGCCCGTGGACTGACCATCGGTGCTCTCCTCCTCACCGTCAGATTCAAAGAAGGGCTCGCAGTCGCGACACAGCGAGTCCTCATCCATGGAGAACACACCTGAAACACAATGTGGACGTTAATGTTTACTCTGTGGATTATGCCACGCTCTTGTGTTTCTTGCTATTGTGCAAGGCGCCATCGATTTTATTTTAATGTTCTCTGGATTAATTCCAGTGGGCTTTTTTTACTTATTTCTGTGCAAAATGTTGATCACTCCTGACCTGAGCTCTCATTGCCGAAGGGTCTCTTCTCATCCATGTCCTCCTCTTCATCATCGTCCTCATCATCCTCGCATTCTTCTTCCAGGTCGACAATGCCGGAGCGCTGCCTGCCCTGGCGGGTGGCCTCAAGGGTACTTTTGTCGCGCTCGCCGTTGTTGCCCTCTCCCGGGATGGCTCCTGAGCTGTAGATGGACGGGTAGTTCTGCGAGTACACCCTGCTGTTGGGGCTGACGCCACCCAGCAAACCATCACCTGTCACGTTCTGCAACCAATGACAAGGATGAGGCTGGGACCAGAAGAAAAGCGCAGCTTTGCTTTCACAGAAATCCAGTGACAATTATATTATTCCAAACAAGTTTTGCTCTTCTCTTTGTTTTCCCATATCAAACAAGCTTTGAAAGTCTTTTTTGTTTCACCAGTGTGAATTTCCATCTAAAAAATATTGTACTACATCCTAACTATAATGTACTAGAACTAATGTGAAGTGCTTACTATTGGGAAAAAAATTGTCAACACATATGGAAATAATTTAACAGTTGCATTCATTACATGACACATTCATTTGTGAGCAATCCCTCACTACCATCCATCCATTTTCTGATCCGGTTATCCTCACAAGGGTCGCGGGGCGTGCTGGTGCCTATCCCAGCTGTCTTTGGGCAGTAGGCGGGGGACACCCTGAACTGGTTGCCAGCCAATCACAGGGCACACATAGATGAACAACCATCCGAGCTCACATTCACACCTAGGGACAATTTTGAGTATTCCATTAAACTGCTATGCATGTTTTTTGGAATGTGGGAGGAAACCGGACTACCCAGAGAAAAATCAACGCAGGCACGAGGAGAACATGCCAACTCCACACAAGAAGGCCGGAGCTAGAATCGAACCCTGCAACTATGCACCTATGCACTATGAGGCTGAAGCGGTAACCAGTCAACCACCAAGCCCCCCTAAATTGTTTCTTGTTGTTTATTTTTACTGTGTAAGATGCAGATCTTTTTATTTCATTCATTTTTTTAAACTGTGGATTATTTCTAGTCCTTGTGTTTATTTCCATTGTAGGTGGCAGGTGTTATAAATACCTCATAAAATGAGCCATGGTATTAAACCTCGGATTGGCTTTGAACTACAAAACCCAAGTAGCTATAGAATAAATAAATGTAACAAATAAAATACATTTCAAAAACATGAGGAAATGCATTTCAAAAATAAATATCAACCAGAAATAACTTAAAACCCAAATGATACGCTTTAGAGAAAATAATTGTTTACACTGATAAATAAACGATGTAATCAATGAAATCAATAATTCGCCTGGCTGGTGCGTGATGATTCACCCTGGTGAAGCATGCATGTGGCTGACTCACCACACTGCGCCCGGCCTCTGATGTGATTTCCGCGGCGGCGTGTCGTGTGTGCCTCTGTGCCGTCAGCAAGGTGGTGGAGTGCAACACGCCAATGTCGTCCACGTAGCGCCGCACCGACTCGGCCAAGAAACCCTGACCCCAAACGCTGTACGAGAACTCGCACTCCCTGGGAAAGCCACCACCGCTGCCCTCCCACATCTTCTTCTTGGTGGCGTCCGTTTCTGGCGCTGAGGAGCGGAACTTCTTGCACGCCGTGAGGATGGCCAGCTCGGAGCCAGATTTTTGGCAGTATGCATCGGCGGCAGCCAGGAGCGCCACCCAGCTGTCCCTGTGGTTGTCCGCAATCTCTGGCTCGGACGACTTGGTGATGGAAGCCATGATGCTGTCAAGTATTGTGTGCGGATGTTTGCGCGAGTGTGTATGTTTGTGTGGAGTTCCCTAATGGCTAAATAAATGGTGTATTTGAACAAGCAAAGCTGCTTACTTGCTGGTGTGTTTTGGCTTTTTTTTTTGCACTGGTGACGATGGACAGGCAGCTTTGTATGGGCCACTGGGTGAATGATATGATGGGAGTGACTGGATGGATTCTTAGCACAAAAGGGATCCAGGGGAGAGAATCAACGGTGCCAAGTTGCTGGTGATACCTGCAGAGAGGGTAAAAACAACATGTATTTGGACCTGCTGGAAAAAGATTCAGTACGCTGACTGACAAAGTGCAGCTTGTTGGCTTAGAATTGAAGAACTTCCTGCACCAGCGAAAATGTTAATTGAATCTTTCAGAGGACTCACTTGCTTATAGCTTATGTTACTTTGACTGAGAAATATCAAATATATTTTACTTGGACACCTGTGGGCTATTTTAAAATGACACATTTCGCACTATTTCTACTTCGGGTGCACTTTCAATACACCCATTGCTAATGAGTGCAGCTAAAGTCGATTTGAAATCGCCCCACAGTGCGTTGAAATGCCACGCTTTGTGTTAGTCCTCTTCAGTGCTTTTCAACGAGGCTTGCGGTGGCTCAGCCACTGTTGTTGTTGTTCTGTGCAGACTCCTCATGATGGAAGCCGCAATTCACCATTTTTCAGTCGGCTGCACGCAGCCGAGACGCGTCGTACGAACGGGCAAAAACAGGTTCACCAACCTGTTCGCTTTCTTTCCCCCGAGTTGCTACTTACTCGTCGAGATTAAACTTGGCTTTACTTCGTCAAACGTGCTGTGCCTTCTTCAAGCGATCCTCTCCCCTAGCTAGGATCGTCACCAGCGGGAAGCTAGCGAGGACGAATGTAAGACATTCCCTTTGGATGCTTCAAAGTAAAACATATGATGTTTTTAAAAACGTCACATCTGTGTTTGATGTCTGGCTATATTGAATGGAATCACCTCAAAGCGGTGATGTTTTACCCACAGGAAATGTCACTAAAACCTGAAATGAAAATATTGGCATATATTTTTCCAGAAATTTGTCTGAAAAAAAATGTTGAACTTTTAATGTGAAAGCAAGTGTATTCCGACTGTGATGTCACCTGTTTACTGTCTTGTCTATGGAGAGTACCGTGTACACGTGACAGTCTTTGGGCGGGTACATTGTCGCGTTGATTTTACGTATATTTACACCTCCTCCGCAACCCACCAATCCGCTTCTCGCTCACGTCACTTATTTAAAAAGTTCGAGCACTCAGCGCGTTGAATTAACTTATTGCCCTGACTTGTTCAATAAAGATTGTTTAAAAAACAAAACTTCTTGCTCCCATGTCCACGTAATTTATAAGATTCAGATCGATTAAAGTCTCCTACGGTTCGACAAAGGTGAACGTCATAAAACGATTCAGAAAATTACATGTAAAACGATACACACGATGGAGACCTGAATTATATCAAGTCTACATTACACGTGTATTGGAACAAAACCATCGTACATAACCAAATATTCCAGATGTACTCCAGAAAAGCGATCACGATTTGTTTAACAATGCTTGGATTGGCTCATGTTGATGACGTTAGCCAAGCGGGTGGGCGGAAACAGGAAGCGTGACGTAACATTTGTTTTGGTAAAACCAGCATAGAAGAGTCTTGTCTCGTAACCCACGATGAGCGATTCAAGAATGGAGCAACACGGTGACGATTACAAGGTACAGACAAGACTTTCTGTTGTCCGTTTAAACTCTGCAAAGGTAAAAAATGTCACTGTTGAGCGTGGGCTGGCCGCTCGTTGTTGCGTTTTAGCTAATTTTTTTCGACGTGTTATCTTGCTAACTGTAGTAATTTCAGTTAAGAAAAGAATATAGTCGGCATTTAAAATGGAAAAAAAATACACAAATGACTTGATTTGGTGGCTTTCTTCAGTGATTGAAGTTGGCACGTATAAAGCTCATTCGTCACGAGACGAGATGTGACGTAACTTGTCAGACCTGCCGCGAGCAGATCACGTGAGGTGTTTATGTGCCCAAACACTTGTAAACCATGACACTTGTCATTTGGTTTTGGAATTTGGAGAGAAATATAAAGTATTTGTTAAATGTGTTGATCAATAAGCGATTGAGCTAGACTGAAATTTACCTTTGAGGTACTTTACTAAACTCTATCTACATACATTATTGTTACGTAGCTCGGATTACGCAGTTACCACGGAGGCAACTATGTTATTTCCCATACTGTACATTGTTTTGCACAATTTAGCCCAGTGTTTCCCAAAATTTATTAAGCCAGGATACATATTTTGCATTAGGAAAATGTCAGCATACGTAGAATAAAAATGAACACGTACTTAAATATTGATGGACACACAGGTTAATTGTATCTTCTAGTGGAAGAGCATAAAATTGTTCTGCATGTCACCATACGCCGCTAGCCTAGATAGATGATCAAAGATAACACAATTTGCCTACTGACCAAAGTCAGCTGGGATAGGCTACTGCACGCCCGCGACCCTCATGAGGATAAGTGATGGATGGATGGATCTATGTTATCATTACTTTGAAACAACTCTGGTGGATGTCATTTGGTGTACCTAATTGTTGTGAGGCTGGGTATATATTTGAAGCGTTTGTCTTCTTTCCTCAGCTAATATTTGAGAAGGAGGGGGTGTACCTGCATACTAATGCCAAGAAGAGCAACCAGGACACCAGCATCCCGGGTTTCATACGCATTGTGGAGCGAGTAAGGAAATCTGTTTTTGTCCTGATGAGATGAGAAAGAATTTCTGAAGTATTTTGTCTCTATTTTAAGGCTGGCGTGCCGGCTTTAGAGTGGAGTCCCCTGGAGGATGCGGGCCGCAATGCTCCTGCTGTGCTTTACTCGAAAAAGGTGGGTTTCATATTATTAATATGACAACATTTGAATGATATGCTTTAACAGTGGGGAATCTTGCCAATCAGGATGGCGAAGGAGGCGAGGAGGACACCAATTTTGACCCCGGCTACGAGCCAGATTGGGCAGTCATCAGCACGGTGAAAAAAGATCGAGAACCTGTCCCCTGCCGAGAGACAGGTGTCGCTTGAATCACTTTGAATATTACAGGCGAAATATTATCCATGTTTTTCATTACAAATTTAAAACTGTTTCCAGGTGTCTAAATGATTCAACCATAGCTCCTGTACAAAGCAAGCACCTATAACAAGTACATTTTATTTTCACTGGTGGAGGCAGCACTTTATCACCAATTTGGTGTATTACACCTTGTCAATTAATCTAGCGGAGCTGTGCATGTGGTGCCAGCAGTGGACACTTGACCAAAGACAAATAGACCCTGACCACACTTTGAAAATTGAGTAAAATATTTGTGTAACATGATTTTGGGAAGAATGCTATTAGCACTGTTGGTTTATCTGTGCTAACACTGCAGCTCTGCTTACCTTTTGGAGACCACGTCCAAATTCACGTGCTCCGAGATGACAAAAGATGGTGTTACATGCCCACGCTAATCGGAAAGTAGGAATAGGTGTCAAGGAAATATGTTTGAATTGATGGATCTCTACTCCAATATTCTCATTTGTATTTTGGGGAGGAGCTCATTTGTGCCAGGGTTGTTAGCAGACATTTCAGAGAGTCTTTGCGGCATAATTTTGTTTCTGCTGGTGCATTTTTCATATAAATCACTTGCGTTTTCTTGCTGTTTGTTTCAGTGCATAGTCTTTACCCCTTGTGGGAGATTACTGTAATTGCCTGAAAATCGCTCCTGATCTTCCTAAGCCAAGCTATCAAGTCATGGGAAAGTCAGCGTGGGGGCGGAACTATCTTAATGACATGGACCATTTGTTTTGCAGGTCAGTGGTCATTCTCACTGCCTCTGTCGGAGCTTTACTCACTGCGCAGAGCCCGCTTCTCCCTTGGCCGCAACTTCCTTGTGTTGACCAGTAGGGGGGGCCACCCTCTGCCTCCCTTGCACTTCCACCGAGGGGGCAGCCGCGAGCTCCTGCGCACACTCAGCCGCTACATCGTCCTGGACCAGTACGTGTGGACTTACTCACAATGTCACGTGACTGTATAAGGAACGGTAGATGTTTTTATTTGGGGTGGGGTGCTGATGTCATCATCAGGTCACCGGTGGATGGGCGTCTTTTCCTGGCGTACCCGCAAGACCCTAACGCCCTTTCGCAGTCCTTTGACAAACTCCACCTCTTTGACGATGGAGGCGCTGATCTCGTGTCGGTAAGATGTGATTTATCTTGCCAAAATTTTTTGCTCTGTCAAATGGCAAGCCATTTGACATAGCAAAACTGTAAAAAAAAAAAATAAAATAAAAAATTTAAAAAAGTGGCCACGCAGGTTAATTATCCTTTCCCGCAGCAGTTTAAAAGAGCAAAACATCCTTCTGCCTGTATGTTGCTGGCATTGTTTTAATCTGTAAATACTGTTACTGTGTTCACCATTTGAAATAAGTAAATGCTTTATGGTCCCCAGAGATTCATCCATGATCCCTATGCAACAACCTTCGGCGGCTTCTCCAAGGTCACCAACTTCTTCAGGGATGCCCTGCGGCCGCCTGACTCCCCGCTGCATCCGCGCGACACCCGCAATCCAAGCTCAGCCCCACAGCTGGACGAGGAGCCCGGCTTTGAGCTCATCACATGCGTAAGACGGACACCTTCCATCCTGACCACCATCTCGCAGGCGGCAAACAAATAGTCAAACAGAATGATCTGTTGAGGTCATCATCAAAGTTAGGAGAGTCCACGGTCGGTCCGAGCTAATCGAGGGACTACTGTCGACACAACAAGTAGCAATAATCCCCAAATATGAAACGTGAGAGTCTTTTGGATTGCTGATGCTGTGTTTTCCCGCCCGCAGGGTGTTGAGCTCGGCCCGAAGCCAGTTGTCAGCAGGGGGCGCCCTCTGGACGAGTGGGATGTCTTTCTGGACCCCGAGGGGCGGGTCAGGGACCCCGAGCGTGTCAAAGAACTGGTCTTTCGGGGGGTGAGCGCACCCGATAATCATCACAATGAAATAATCTAGTTTTTGTTTGTTTGGTTGTTTTTCTTCATAACGTGACTTGAGTGTGTACTGTTGCAGGGCATCACACCAACGCTCAGGAAGGAAGTGTGGAAGTTCCTGCTGGGCTTTTATCCGTGGAACAGCACACACAGCCAACGAGAGGAGATCTTACGCCTCAAGACGTCAGTTCTCAATGACAGTTTGGATTTTTTGTTGGGGGGCCTTGATGGAAGATCCATTCCAATTGTTCATATCACAAGGCAGTCGCTCTTTGTGTGTGCATGCAGAGACGAGTACTTTCGGATGAAGATGCAGTGGAAGTCCGTCAGCGAGGAGCAGGAGATGAGGAACTCGCTTCTCAGGGGCTACCGCAATCTGATTGGTTCGTAGACTTGGTGAAGCAGCATGTGGCTCACGAGTCACGGTTATTTCTAATGCCCAGGCAAAAGTTGTTCAAATTGGCAACACTTGGTGTTTCCAAATGTCTAGTCCATTCATTATTAAATCTTGGACTGGTTGGCAGTCAATGTCAGGACGCATATAGCCAAAAATCTGAGTGGTCTCCCGACAGTTTCAGCGCATTTTATTTTTTTAACCCCCTAAATTCTTGAATAAGTGGAGATAGGGTTCCCCCCTCCTCAAAAAAAAAAAAAAAAAACAGGGCAGGGGCTGCTACCCTTGCCCCCTTGATTTTTTTTCCAGTTGGTTTCACATGTATTTCAAACACCTTCTGTTCCACAGTAGAATTCATGCGGATTCTATAATGGTGAGCTGGCCAGGCCCTGCTCTAGGAAAGCATCCCCAAACCTTGGCATTTCCTCCTCAGTTGCAATGAGTTTCTGAAACGCTGCACTTGTGGCCAGTCAAAGTCAGGTGTTTATTTCCTTCCTCCTGTACATCAGCGTGTGTGTTTTTTGTGTTTGTTGGCAGAACGTGACGTGAACAGGACTGACCGACACAACACATTTTTCTCCGGCAACGACAATCCAGGCCTGGCGCTGCTGCACGACGTGCTGATGACTTACTGCATGTACAACTTTGACCTCGGTGACTGAACAAACACTCGACCTTGACACTAAATGGTTTGGTTCTCTTGAACGATCTAAGTGGTTCTTGGCATTTGATGAGTTCCCATTTTAGCAAGCTGATGTTAATGATGCTCCTGATTGATTTTTTTTTTCTCTTCGCGCGCAGGTTACGTGCAGGGGATGAGCGACCTGCTGTCTCCTCTGCTGTTCGTCACGCAGAACGAAGTGGAGTCCTTCTGGTGCCTCACCGGATTCATGGAGATGGTGGTCAGGAGACTAAATGCATACTCGCCATTACTCATACTCCTCAGCATCTTTTCCTTCCTGTCTTCTAGCTATCATCATCATCTCCCTGCTCCTCTTCCACTTGTCCTGCTCCTCGTTTTTTTCTGCTCATCCTATCCTTGTCCCGCTTCTCTGTGATTCCTGCTCTTCCTTCTTGTCTTTTGCCTCTTTTTCACCTTTTTTGTCCTCCTCTTCCTTTCCTCCTTTTTCTTCCTCTTCCCCTCATCTCTCTCCCTTCCTCATCTTCTCCCCGCCTCTCTTTTCCTTGTCTTCCATCTCTTCCTCTTTGCCTTCCTCTGCCTCATTGTCTCCTCCTCTTTTTCTTACTATCCTCGCTGTCGTCCTCATCTTCTCCTATTCTTCTCTTCCTCCAAAACCCCTCCTCGTCGTCTTCCTCTTTGGCTTATTCCTCAACTCCCTCCTGCTGCTCTCCTCCTGCACTTTGCTCCATCCTTCCCCCTCTTCTTCTCCTCCTGTTGTCACCCTCCTCCTTTTGTTTCTCCACTCATTCTCATCTGCTCAATTCCATCTCTTTTTATCGCCCTCTTCCTTCTCCTCATGTTGTCTTCCTCTTCCTCCTCCGCCTCCTGCTCCATCTTGTAAACATTACAGATGAATTGTGAGCTTTTGTTGTCTGCTCCTCAGCACCACAACTTTGAGGAGTCCCAGGAAGCCATGAAGCAGCAGCTCCTTCAGCTCAGCGTCCTGCTGAAAGCTCTGGACCCGGAGCTCTGCGACTTTCTGGGTAAAGACCAACTGGATCGGTAGTGGAAATGTCAAAACCGAAGAACACGTGTTCTTTTTTTTTTTTCTTTCTTTTTGTGCTTTTCAGATTCCCAGGACAGCGGTTCGCTTTGCTTCTGTTTCCGCTGGCTGCTCATCTGGTTCAAGAGAGAGTTCTCCTTTGAGGACATTCTCATATTGTGGGAGGTGAGCTCCGTTTGCTACAGTAGATTGTGCGGGTGTGCCTCTTGTTTTGGCTCAGCGCACGGTAACTAAATATGCCTGTCATCACACAAAATTTATCTGAAGAGGTCACTGAAAATGATCCAGGCTACCCTAAAATCACTGTTTCAAAACAAACAAGCAAACTTCCTGTGTCTTTTTAGACATGACTTCTTGAGACTTTTTTTGTGGGCGCACTCTTGACAGACATACCTGTCAAATGTCATTCTGAAGTCAAAAGTGTCGTGGAGTACTGAATTTTTAAAATCTATTCCATGCAAGGATCATTGAACTTGTGCCTAAAATGGGTGCTTTGAATCAAAATGGGAGGCATCCTGTTTATCTTGACGCTTTTTGGGGGGCCTGCGCAAGACTACATTTCATTTTGCTAAGTGAAAATGGCTTTGTGGGGTGATTTTTTTTTTTGTTTTGATATGGAAGCGATGGTGTGTTTTAATCCTAGGGTTGATTTTTTGGCTCTTTTCAGGCATGGCTTCTTAAAACATTTTTTTGTGAGTCTACTCATGAAAGACAACTATGCCATATTTTATGTTGTGAGATCAACGGGGCGAATTCGTTTTTTTAATCTGTGAGGGAGGGGATGCTTGAACTATAAAATGTCTGTTTTCAACCAAAATGGCTGACCTTCTGTGTCTTTTCAGGCATTGCTTGTTGAGACTTTTTTTGTAGATTTACTTATGATAGACATGTCTCCATGAAACTGTCCCTGAGGGCTGAAAAAACGCTGAAGCTTTTTGTTTTCTGGCATGTTGTTCTTCAGGTTATGTGGACTCGTCTTCCCTGCCCCAACTTCCACCTTTTGATTGCTTGCGCCATCCTGCAGTCACAAAGAGGCGAGCTGATTGGCTCAGACCACGACTTCAACACTATTCTCAAGGTTCGTGTGTCTTATGTGTGAAGTAAAAGTCCTCATCCTCATCCTGCTCTTTATAACACACAGCACATTAATGAGCTGACTATGAAGTTGGACCTACAGAGCACTCTGCGAGGCGCAGAGGCCATCTACCTACAGCTACTCCAGTGCAATGTGAGAACCAAAAACACACTAACCCCTAGTCACACATGTTTGAGCAAGAAGTTAGTGAATGGGTCTATGGGTGGTTACTAATATACTTTATTCAATAATGCGGTATAGCAATACCCAGTCACATATTCTTTATCCTCCACGAAGAACAACTAACAGTTGTGCCGTGCTGAGGAGCTGTGACTGTCTCTGTGTATGCTCGTATGTGTCCACAAAGTGCCCACACCAGAAGGAGCAGCACAATATATATCCATTAAAGCAAAATAATTAGACCCTTTTGTATTTAATACAACCACATACCGTAGCCTTTCAGTCCGCTAGCTTAATGCTGATGCGGAATAGCATCTGTGTTGCAATGCTTCAAGCAACAGACATTTGAACACAAATGGGAGAGCAACTAACACTGTCAGTGTAACAGCACTCACTTATATAATATTGTTTATCCTCTGCGAAGAATGAATTAGTGCCGTACTGATGATCTAACAGGACATTGCAGCTGATACTTTTTCATTCTGTTGAATTTAGTCATTTCTGTATGTTTTTACAAAGACAACATTCCCTAATTTTAATACACATAAGAACAATTGTGATCACTTTTTTTACTGTAACTGACATTCCAACCCATTTCGTTTCCATGGGTAAAGATGATTTGAGTTTTGCGTTGTGAGTTTGTTAATGGAACAATATAAAATTGTATCGCAAGAACCCCCCCCCCCCACACACACACACACAGCTGCGTCTTTATGAATGCAACCTGAGCCCAGTTCCTTTGTAACCCCATCTCCCTGTCATTTGGTGACCCCCATCACCATTTCCAGGATTTGCCCCTCAAGGTCCAGGAGGTCTTGGGTGCATATGTCCCATCCAGCTCCTCTTCCGATGACGACACCCCCGACTTTGAGCGCGGCGACACGCGGTCTCCCCCTGGCCAATCACAAGGCACCCCCTAATTAAACCCAACCAGCTGACATGAAGATATTTATGAGTGATGACACGAATATTAACTGCAAGCCTGAGAGGAGGCTGTAATACAATGTGTCCGCAGAAGGGGGCGACATGAAGGACGTCACTGTGCTCATCTTCCATCTCCTCCTATTCTTCCTCCTTTTGATTGAAGCTGCTCTCTTTTTACATTTTACACTAAGTTGGTTTTCACCCGCTGCAGCCACCCAACTAAAAAAAAAAAAAAAGGGAATAAAATGAAGGGTGGGTTTTTTTGTGTAGTGAGTAAGGTAGCCTTCCCTGACAGGAAGCCCTATGCAACATGGTCACCTTTTAACCTTTGTACGGTTTCCATCTGCTCATTAGTACCAAATAAAAGGATGATGAAGCTCTACTTTGTCTTTTTTTTAATATGTGTACCAGTACTAAAGTCTGATATGGGAAATATGACATTACTAACGATTAGCTTGCAATATTTTCACATATGACTGAGGATCTTCTCTCAGAGTGTGTCCTTGAGGAGTACATGCGTTTGTGACCCCATTTTGTGTGTGAACAATAGTTCCGTTGACAAACTTGAGTTTGACATACCAAGCTTGCTAGGTGCTAAGTTGGCATACCATGCAAAGTTCTGGGCTACGTTAACTGGGTTCGATTCCGGCTCCGGCCTTCTTGTGTGGAGTCTTGAATGTTCTCCCCGTGCCTCCATAGGTTTTCTTTGGGTATTCCGGTTTCCTCCCATATTCCAAAAAGATGCGTTGCAGGTCAATGGAACACTCGTTTTAAATTGTGTGAGCGTGAATAGTTCGTCTATGTGTGCCCTGCGATTGGCTGGCAACCAATTCAGGGTGTACCCTGCCTACTGCCCAAAGACAGCTGGGATAGGCTCCAGCATGCCCGCGATCCTTGTGAGGATAATCGGATTAGAAAATGGATGGATGGATGGATGGATGGATACCAAGTGACCACGAGTGTATTAAAGTCCCCTACTTAGTGCATTATTAAGTCTGCTGAACGAGGGCTTAACTTCTACGTGAAAGGTAAATTATGAAAAAAGTCTGAAAGACAAAATGACTTGAGCGCGTAATCCCGTTAGCATCATCGGGACAAAATGAGACCTAAAATCTGCTGACAAGGCTGTAGTTCTTAACGTGCTTTCAAAGCAGATTGAATTTGAATGAGGCGCACCAGTCAAGTGGGGTCAGCCTGGGGTGGCGTTGCCCAGGGAAAACCCGGTGACAGATCGCGAGCCTGTTTAAGAGGCCTGCTAAATTCATACGTGGCAGCTGTATTCAGAAGCGGGCGGAGGGCCCGAAGAGGGGTGGTGGCGGGTCCCCGCCCCTCATTTTCCAGCTCATTTCCCACGACACTGGAGAACAGCTATCCTTTTTTTCACTGCCGCCATTCAACTCACACGCAGACACCTGCTGTTACTGCTGGTGTGTGGACAAGTTTGCGCGTGTGTGTCAAGGAGGGGTAGGTCAAAGTTTAACCAGTACACAACAAGTTAAGACACAACACACATGGCAAGTTTACCAACTTACTTCATTAGGTACGCCATGTTGTCACATCCAGTACAAGAGTTTTGCGGTTATTTTGCCACAAAGGTTGCATGGCCTTTTTTCATGCCTTCTGGTATAACCAAATTTCGTGTCCATCAAAGAGACTGGTTTCAGAAGAGAATTTTTTTTATCAGTTTTTCCAGGCGAGCACTGCTGAAATAATTTGCCGAAAGTGCCTTCTTCAATTTCAGGCATGGGTCCTTGAGAGTGCAGCCCGGTGGTCCAGTGGTTAGCGCGTTGACGTCACAGTGCAGAGGTACCGGGTTCAATTCAATCCCTGTGTGGAGTTTGCATGATCTCCCTGCGCCTGCGTGGGTTTACTCCGGTTTCCTCCCACATTCCAAAAACATGCATGGCGGGCTGATTGAAAACTTAAAATTGTCCCTAGGTGTGAGTGTTAGCGTGGATGGTTGTTCGTCTCTGTGTGCCCTGCGATTGGCTGGCAGCCGGTTCAGGGTGTCCTGCCTGAGACGGCTGGGATAGGCTCCAGCACCCCCCGCAACCCTTGTGAGGATAAGCGGATGGGAAAATGGATGGATGGATGGGTCCTTGAGAGTTTTTTGAGCATACTGTTATGATTGACATGTAAACCAAATTTTATGTTTATTGGTGAACCGGATTGGTGAACTTTTAAGGGGATCCTGCAAAGGGGGCTTGCCCCAAAGTGGCTGCTTCAAACCAAAATGGCTGACTTCCTGTTCACGTTCAGGCTCTCACTTTGAGATTTCATGTATCTTGTCATCATAGAAATGTCCACCAAATTTTATGTTGATCAACTGGTTTCGGGGGCTGATTTCCACATTTTGTAACTTTCCGAAGGTGCGGAATGAGTTTGGGACCCCTAAAAAGGCATAGATTTTCACCAGGATGGAAGTGTTTGCAAAAATTGATCATATCCAAAGCAAAGTTTTAAAACATGACAAAAATCGAGAATGTCCATTTCTCTTGTGTTGTTGTTTGTGCAAACTTGAGCATGATTCCAGCCAAAGTGGCGGCGGCTTTGCAGATTGGTGAATTCTTGACGAGGATGACTGAATTATTGATGGCCATCTCCAATCAAGTAGGGCACGTCCTGTTTGAAAGGTGAGCCCGTGCACGGCTGCTGAATGCCACCTGTAGGCAGTGTGTCAAATCCAAAATGCGAGCCTCTATTGTGCGAGCCCCCGGGGGTCTCGAGGGAACGTGTGACGAGTGCCTGTCCATACGCTGAGAGCGTGCGAGGCAGAAGGCCGGGGCCTGGTGTCTAACACTGATTTGTAAAGGGAGACAATACGGCTCATTGACCCGAGGCTCCACTGTCTGTTGCACATACCTCCATCACGGCTCTTTAAACAGCAGCAGATTGCCACAAGCCTCCGTCGGGGAGGGGGCATATGGAAGGGGGTCTTTGGGGGCGTCGGAGGTACGCTGCTTTGACAATGAGGCCAATTTGATGGAAATGTCTCTTTAAATGTCACCGCGGGAATTTTATTAAAGCACATTGAGACCTAATGAGACGTATTAATACTGTTTATGAACAGTATTCGCTTTTTTGCTAAATCTTGTTTCATTTTCACAAATTGCACTTAAGTAAGTAATCTTTAATTGAACAATGTATTTGGAATGTTTACGTTTCAATTTGGAATTTAAATAGCCATGTAGTGCAACGAGCTATTTGCGGCAATGCAGCAACACTCAAACATTTACAAATGCGTTTATTGGATATATTTTTAAAAATAATATTCATATAATCTATATAGGCGGACAACTGGTTAGCACGTCGGACTCACAGCGCAGAGGTGCAAGGTTCGATTCCAACTCCTGGCCTTCCTGTGTGGAGTTTGCTTATTCTCATGAGGATCGCGGGTGTGGTGGGGCCAATCCCAGCCAATTGCAGGGCACACACAGGCAAACAACCATTCGCACTCACATTCACACCTAGAGACAATTTAGAGTGTTTCATTAACCTGTCATGCATGTTTTTGGAATGTGGGAGGAAACTGGAGAACTGTATCGGAGAAAACCCACGCTGGCACTGGGAGGACATGCAAACTTCACACAGGAAGGCCGGAGCTAGAATCGAATCCTGCACCTCTGCACTGTGAGATGGACGTGCGAACCATTCGATCATTGTGCCACGCCTATTATTATTATTAATATTAGTAGTAGTAGTAGTAGTAGTCGTTGTTTGAGGTGGTGGTGGTGGTAGTGGGTTTCGGTTGTTTTTTATGCTCTTTGTATGTTTTATGTAACGTGGTGACAGCTTTGGCTGTTTTTTTAAAGTGCTCTTTCAATGGAGCTGAGTTGAGTACACTTTCAGTTGTCAAACATTAGCATGACCTCGTCTCATCTAATGAAATGGCCCGTGGCCTCCGAGCGATGTTAAAACATAAGTGTGTAATATTCCAAGTTGTAAAGGTCAAGACAAGCAAAATGTCATTTGGGTACCCCCCTTGAACCCTCCCAGGTCCACGGTGGTGTTGTAAACAAATACCGAGCTGTTATTGTCATCCATTCCCATTGTCAGAGTGTGGAGATGACCTTTTTCTTCTCCCTTTTCACCATCGATCCCAATCTGTCGCCCCGCCACTCCTCCTCTTGTCTGCGCCGTCGGTTGTGCTCCGCCCAGGCCCCCCTCCTCGGCTGCCCCAGAACTCATCGGCCCACCTGTTGATGCGATTGTCTTCTTCACAGTTTATGTCACTGGCCAGGGGTGCCGCCCTCTTTCAGGCTCTCTTTCTTACTTGCGTGTATAAAAGGAAGCCAAGATTTTTCCTCCGGCTTCACTCGGACTTTATTAGCCAGCGCTTGTTTTGTTCACCATCATGCAGACGGATGACAGAGGTGTGTCATTGTGGTGCGAGGAAACAGAAGAGGACTACCAAAGTCAGAGCACCAAAAGAGCATCGGAGTCGAGAGGCCTCGGGGTTCCACTGCGAGCCGCCTGGGACCCGTCTGTGTCGGGGAGGCGTGTGATCCAGAGACTGCTTCACGTGGAGGAACGATACGCGCCCACGCAGCTCTACGTTACTCTGATTCAGCAGGAGCCCGAAAGACGCGAGGAGCTGGCCAAGTGGACACTGGAGGTATATGGAGACATCGGATAACGTCACCTCGTTTACATCTCGCATACCGTCACTGTTGGTCGGAAATCTCGTCGGGCCAATTATGATCCATTTTCATTTTTTTCACAAATTGACACCACCACAACACGTCGTCTGTTATTTTTACACTTTATTAACCGGCTCTTTCTTTACACGCGGTAGCCATGCTGCATTCTGTCACCTCAAGACCGAGGGACTAACAAGTGAGGTTAGTTCGATACATTTGAGTAAACCTGTTTTCTTAAAAATAGATCGCCCTAATGGTTTGGTGCAGAGGGAACTGGTACGGATTAATTTCTTCCTGTTGCATTGCTTAGTCAACTCATCATTTTGTTTATTGCACTCGTGGCTCTATGACCTTTGGAAAAGCGTTTGGGGAAGATGATGTAACACAATCGTTTGCTTTTGTGACATATAAAAGGTGCCTCACATCCCCTCTTCATGGGGTCAGCAGTAATACAGGCAATAATACAGACCAGATATCATGGAGTGTGGCATTGTGAGGGACAAGTTGCATGTCCCATTTCCACACCTATGGTGGGGAGGAGAGAGGAGAAGCTGCAGTTAAACAGGCTAAAATCCAGGTGTCAGGAGGTGTCCGTATGTGTCCTCACCCCCATTCTCTAAAGTTACCGAGAGTCCACCCCACTGTCTTCTCACATCATCATGTGCCCTCATCTGACATGTTTTTCTCGGTGGTCAGGTGTGCTACGATTGCGGCTGCGACGAGGCCGTGTTCCCTCTATCCGTTTCCCTGATGGACAGGTTCCTGTCGGCTACGTTGTCCACGCCCGCCTCGCCGTATTGCCTGGCGGCAGCCTGCATGCTCATTGCCTCAAAGCTGAGCGAGTGTGAGAACATCACCTCGGATGCCCTCTGCGCCGCCGCCGAGTACAACTTCCTGCCCGCCAATCTTCGGGTGAGACACTTCATTACCCATGATGCACTTCACTTTTCCTCTATTTGCCCTTACCTTAACGGGAGGCTTGCATCCACAAAAACGTGGACATATCAATTCACTTTGAACGATAATAATTAGCACAATACAATATTGACCCCAGGAGTGGATGTTTTTGGAATGTGGGAGGAAACCAGAGTACCCGGAGAAAACCCACGCAGGCACGGGGAGGACATGCAAGCTCCACGGAGTCAAAATCAAACCCTGAACCGCTGCACTGTGAGCCAGATGGGCAAACCAGTCAGCCACCAGGCCGCCCTAAAATCAATATAATACAGAAAATACATTTAATAACATTTAATTGTATTGATTTGACTGGAATTAATTGCCACTTGTTACTAGGCAGAATTTGCCACTTATTGCTTGTCAGAAATCAAATCTTTTGTGTTTATTCAGCCAATCAAATATTTTATTCATACCAACCGGGCCCATAAGGTGTTTGAATTTCAGGTGATTATTGCTGTGCTATTTGCAACGTAGACATTTGATTCACAATTTAAACAGTGGTCTGTTTCAAATATAAAAACATAAAAGAACCCCAACACCGAATTGTTATGCCCCCCAACAGGAGATGGAGCGGGTGGTCCTGGCCACCCTGCGCTGGGACACGGCGGCCGTGACGCCCCAGGACTTCCTGCCGCACTTCCTGGCATCACTTGAGGAGAGAAGCGGGCAGGACAGCGCCACCTTGAGGCGACACAGCGACACGCTGGCAGCCATGTGCGCGTGCGACTCGCGCTTCCTCGGGGCGCCGCCCTCCCTGGTGGCTGCCGCTTCTCTCAACTGCGCTATGCGGGGCCTGGGACACAGGGGGCGCTCTCGGCTCCACCTGCTCAGCTTGACGCTGGCCGAGCTGTGCCAGGCTGACCTGGTGAGTGGCGCACAGGCCTGTGAATGGCTCACGAGTCTTTCCAATCTTAGATGGATAGATAGATGTCCTCCTCATCTGACTTAAACATTTTTCCTTGGCGCCGAGATGTCACAAAGTGGTGCCAATGCACTACTTTTATTTTAGACACGTCTTTGGCCAGAGCACAAATACAGTATTCAGCATTTTTTTGTTTGTTTGTGAATAAGAGAGGGTAGGGTGCCCCTGCCAAACTAATCTGTGATGGATACAGCCACCAACAATGTAAAAACAAATGCAAACAGCATTACTGCATATCATTTTGCCGAGCCTCAAGTTAAAGTTCTCCAACCTCAGTTTAAGTACGGCACTTTTAATGGACTTTGTGTTTGGATGTCAGGTGGTGCTGCAGTACTACAGTGAGATGATCGAGCGCACCCTCCGCCAGCGCCTCAGCAGCGGGCCGGCAGACAAAGGCGACGAGCTCGAGGACGAAAGAGCCGGCACACCCACCGACATGAGAGAAATCGATTTTTAAAGCCCAGTCGGTGGCCAAATTGCAAGTGCAGACCAATCAAATGTTGTCGTCATCAGTCAAACTGATATAAATTATGACCTCCACAAAGCATATTTTTATATAGTGAAGGGAAGAGCTAGTTGTGCTGTTAATTTATTTTTTCCATTATTTATTTGCCAGACATTTTAAAAAATGTGTTCCTTGTGCCATATTATATCTATTTCTATTAATTTTATTGTAGGCCCGTTATGTATGTTTATTCTTCTTTTCATATTTATACCATTTATTTATTTATCTTGTGCAATTGTTTACCTTTAATGTTAATTTATTCAATATGCTATACTTATAAGTTGTTTTTACTGTACTGAACAAACTACTTAAATGAAGAAATCTATTTTTGGAAACAATTAAAGCCATTTAAACTCCCTTTCCATCGTCTATGGTTAAATCATTGGAATATACCGTTGAATATTCATTCTTTGAAGCAAAGTATCTAAAATTAACTTCAATGTACTTTATTTTTAAAGCAATAAAAAAAAAAACAATCAGAGTTGCTCTGTAAAAACATTTGGCGCAAAATATTCTATTTCCGTTGGTCATTGAATGCACCACACAATCTCGGCTCCGCATGTTCATGACGTCATTTCATCGGCTACCAACTGGTCATTGAATTTTGCTTCCTGGAGTTCAGCCAGCAGGCTACCTACGGTAAGAAAAATCTTACACCATAATCTTATATACTCACGATTTTGTGTTGTTGTTATGAGCTATCGACACATAAATAAGTGCAGGTAGAGCTGCGTATGAAGCTCTGCGTTTGATTCAGTACAGCTAGCTGGCTAGTTCGTCGCTTCAATTCGTAAAAACATTTAAAATGCTGCATAGTCACAATATCCGCTTTCTTCTTAACATAGATAGTGCTTTACATGTAGACACTAATACTTGTCCTCCATCATAATTTGGTCTATGGTGTTATTATTCGAGCGGGGAAATAAATAAACGTCGTTGCGTCGTACTCCACTGGTGAAATCCAACATTTGCGATGCCTTTCACGATACTACAGTAACATTAAAAATGTTTAAGATCTTATTGATTAGTTATGAGCTTGACGTATGTGAGTTTGGCTTATAATATGATCATCAGCGACCAATCCTTTCGGTGTAATTGCTGTGAACATTTACAATACAATACAATACATGCATAGATTTATATAGCGCTTTCACAACAGCGGCAGCTGTAACAAAGCGCTTAACAAAACAGTAAACATAAAGTAAAATAATAAACACAACACATAACATAAAACACAGACAGTCGTGCAGTCCTAACCACTTTTCCCTCACACGCTTTGTTGTTTGAAGCAGTTTGAGATGAAAGAGGAGAGAATCAAAGTGTCCTTTAACCAGTGGATCAGAGACGTCATGCTCAAAATGTGCACACGTTGGCTACAAGCTAAGTTTCAAAGTCAACAAGAAGCTGTAGCATCCATTGACGAAAAAAAGAGATTGGTTCACTTCTCCTGTCCCATGGAAATCCATTTCAATTCCAAGCGGCGACTCTCGGTTCCAAATACGCATCTGCGCTCCGCGCCAGCGCTCCTCTCTCCTCATTCTCAACTTCAGCAGCCATCCATCCAGCCGCACCAACGCCGACTGTCCAACAGCGCCGACCTCTCTACTGAACAAAACGGGGCTGTGAAAAATGCTGCCCATTACAGGCGCAAAAAACACAAGTGCCCCGGGGCTGTCCAGCATCGACACTCAATGGCGCCGACATTCCTCCCAATCAAAATCTGTCCTGGTACAGGCGCGCTGCCGAGAAGGCGCAACCACCAAGCACAGATTCTTCTCCTTTGACGAATGTCGTGGCCAAAAAACGCTGAAAACAGTCCATATCAGGTCCACACGATGAAACAACAAACAACATGTGACAAAACAAAAAGACAAAAACAACAAAAAAGAACAAAAAAGCAAGGCTCTTGAAGAGCACTTGCCGAAGGCTGCCTACTCGGGCACCATCTTGGGGAAAAAAAAAAAACATTTAGTGCGCGCGTGTATTCTACCAGTCAATAGTCGGGATATTGTTTGTCTTTTAAAAGTACTAAAAAAGACCTTTAACTCTAAATAAGCTGGAGGATGAAGTTGGAAGGTGCCTGGGTGCTGCTGCTTCTCGCCATCTCTGTGTCATCAGTGCCCATCGACCGCAAAGAGGTCCACCAGGAAGTCAAAGATGAAGAACAAGTGGAGAGCATGGTATTATATTTTTTCTCATCGATGATTTGTTCCTCATTTGACACCCTTTATTTATCAGGACACGGGTCTGTACTACGACCGATACCTCCGAGAGGTGATCGAGGTCCTGGAGACAGACCCTCACTTCCGGGAGAAACTGCAGACGGCCAACACGGAGGACATCAAGAATGGCCGCCTGAGCAAAGAGCTGGATCTTGTCAGCCACAATGTTAGGACACGTCTGGACGAGCTGAAGCGGCAGGAGGTGTCGCGGCTCCGGATGCTGCTCAAGGCCAAGCTAGACAGCACCAACACTCAGAGTGAGTCCAACCATGCTAGAAGAACTACAAAAAATATTCTAATTCATTTAAAGTTGAATGAAAAATGTTAGATACCATAGAGATGTAAAAGAACGATCTATGTTCCTATATATGTTAGAGTGCATGACACGCTGAATTGAAATGACTGCTTTTCAGGCCTGCAGATGGACCACGCATCCCTGCTCAAGCAGTTTGAACATCTGGACCCGAACAACCAGAATGCCTTTGAGGCCAAAGACCTGGAGCTGCTTATTTCCACGGTGAGAGTCGTGAGGCCTACAACAGAGTCTCTCAACGCATGTACAGGGGACTCCAGCACCAAGTCCGACTGCGAATGGTCAATTTTAGCAAATGATTGATGCTCCCCTAAAAGTGATTCATTGCCAATACCCATATTTATAGTTTAAGCCATAAATATACTACTTGTCCTAGTTTGTCAAAACTTTTGTGAGGTAAAGCACCCGTAGCAGACATGCATAATCCTGTTTTATTGATCTACTTTGTCAGTGTCTGTGACAAATCTAGCACTGCTGCTGTTAGGCTTGTGATTGGATGAGCGAGTCGGAGGTTGGTAGTGGAATTAATACGCTAGCAAGTTTCATTGAGTGGATAACTCGTTTGAAGGTTTTTTTTGTTTTTTTTTTTTCGTGTTAACAGGTGAGAGTGACAATTTGTTGTCTCTAGAGACCCTACCATACAAGAAATAGCAGTGTGATACGCTTCCTCCCGCACTGCAGCTTGTGTATCTTGTGGATTATTTCTAATTGTGTATTTTATTGTTATTATTATTTTAATCGTACAAGATCGCAGTTATCATGATTTTTCTACTTTCCTCGGGTCTGTAGGCCACCAAAGACCTGGAAAACTACGACGCTGAGCGGCACGAGGAGTTCAAGCGCTACGAGATGCTGAAAGAGCACGAAAGGCGCGAGTACCTGAAGGGTCTGGACCAGGAGAAGCGGGAGAAGGAGGAGCAGCGCATGCAGGAGCTGAAGAACAAACACCGAGAGCACCCCAAAGTCAACGCTCCTGTAGGCATATCACTTCATCCATTTGTTCCTTTTCAAAGTGAAGGTGCTTCATCTCTCTGCTTCCTGTTCATCAGGGCAGTGTGGCTCAGCTGAGGGAGGTTTGGGAAGAGACTGACAGACTGGACCCCAAAGAGTTTAACCCCAAGACCTTCTTCAAGCTGCACGGTAAGTGAGACCTCTCGTCTGTGTCTGCCTATCTCTGACTTCACCATGTCTTTTTTTTGTCTCTTGACTTGGTTAGACACCAACGAGGACGGTGTTCTGGACGAGCAGGAGCTGGAGGCGCTTTTCACGAAAGAGGTACAGCAGTCTGTAACTTTCACACAGAAGTCAGAAAAGTCGCTGAAATGTCACGTAATATCTTCACACACCAGCAAAGACAGAAAAAAAATGGTTAGCCTGCAAACTTGACACTCCAATGCGCTGATAAAAGTATGTGACTTATTTGCACATTATTTGTTAAAAAAAAAAATTGGGAACAAGTAGGGAATTGACAAAGGTGTTTTCCTCCCGACAATGATTTGCTTTAGTTCAATTGGATTCAAAATCGTGACAAAAATTCAGTGATGATTTAAGCGACGCACTGACGTCTTCTCCCAGCTGGAGAAAGTGTACAACCCCAAGAACGAGGAGGACGACATGATGGAGATGGAGGAGGAGCGGCTGAGGATGAGGGAGCACGTCATGAAGAACGTGAGTCTCGTCTCCCGTCATGTGGGTGGGCTTTCAAATGTCGCCACATTTCCTTCTGTCATCCCTCCGCTGTTGCCTTCCCTCAAGGTGGACACCAACAAAGATCGACTGGTCAGCCTGGACGAATTTCTCAAGTCCACAGAGAAGAAGGAGTTCAACACTCCCAAAGAATGGGAGGTACGTTTGAGACAATGTAGCCGAACATTATCATCAGTTAATGCCGGCTAATTTATGCTAACACTGCAGCGCTGCTTACCTTTTGGCTTTAACCTTTGTGTCTCAAGTCTCAATGTCTCCCTTTTTGGGGTCGCCAGACTCTGGACGCCAAGCCGGCCTATACCGAGGAGGAACTGCAGCGCTTTGAGGCGGAGCTCCGTGACAAGGAAGAGGAGCTGAAGAGGAAGGAGGACACGCTACGGCAGGAGCAGGAGCTGCTGAAGGAGAGAGGAAAAGCTTTGGAGGCCCAGAGGAGGGAATACCAGCAGGTACCTGTCATTGCCATAACGTCCTTCAGCCTTCCGTGAAATCATCACCATATTGACAAGAATGTGGTCGTTCTAGGCCGTGCTGGAGATGTCGCAGAGGCAGAAGGACCAGGCCGCAGCTGAAGGACAGCCTCCGGCCGGCCCTCAAGGGGAACTTCAGTTCCGGCCTCCACAACATGACGATAAAGGTGGATAGGCTACACTTACAATCATGAAGGCAGTCAAACCATAAAGAGGTGCTGGTTCCCCTAGTTGGAAAAAAACAAAACAATGCCTCAAATAATCATTCAAGTCAATAAATGCAAAATCATATTAAAATAGAAAACTAAATAGATATATATATACGGTACATAAATATAGAAATGAAATACAGAAAATAAAATTATAGTAAAAGAAATATAATGGAAATAAATGATGAATACCAAATTAATGATGCATATCAGGTAATTGAATACATGCTACATGATTTAAAAATAAGATATTGGAATGGCAATAGTCAGAATTCCCTTTTCAAAAAGAATTACATCAATTAAGGCAATATAAAATAAACATAATATTACAAATATAAATATTAAAAGAGAAATAAAAATAGCACATAAAATAACAAGTCATGATGCAGGATAAAATAATCGTCAAAACTCCCTTTTCAAAAAATAAAATAATACAAAATAAATAAAACAATATTTAAAAAAAAAAAAAAAAAGGCAAAAACGAATCCCACTCTCCTCCATACTAGTTTAAGCAATCAAAACATGATTTAAAAAAAAAGACACACATGACATGAGATGCATCTAATTGTCTGTTTGCACAACTACCTGACCTTGGACAATTTGAGCAAAGAAATGCCCTGATGTTGCTCCAGCCTCTACACATTTACACAAATACAAATATATGAAATGTGCATTTTAAAATGGTAGTATTGTGATTTTCTTAGTGCACACAGCATAAAAATGTGCAGTATTGATTCAAGTAAGAGCAAATGTCACTTATTTTTCTGTCTGAGTAGATTCTCAACCTTTACTTCTTGCAATTAACTAATCAACATTACAGAGCGATTAACTGGCATATTTCAGTAGCAGGCATGTGATGGTCTACTTGCATCATTTTGGGAGAAAATGCAATGATTCTTTTTAGCTTCTTAATTTTTTTTTTCTTATTTCTGAACACTAAAACAGGCACTGCGTGGCCACCTGTTACTTTGGACCTCGCCTTGGTCTATCTATCTATCTATCTATCTATCTATCTATCTATCTATCTATCTATCTATCTATCTATCTATCTATCTATCTATCTATCTATCTATCTATCTATCTATCTATCTATCTATCTATCTATCTATCTATCTATCTATCTATCTATCTATCTATCTATCTATCTATCTATCTATCTATCTATCTATCTATCTATCTATCTATCTATCTATCTATCTATCTAAAAAAGGCGAAAACGAAAAAGACTAAGATAATAAATTTAATAATAAAAACACTGAAGTCCATGTTACGAGAGCTCAGTCCAACAAGTACCCAATGATGAACTTTTTCCGAAGCTGCTGAAATTGCCGAATGCCTTCGGGCAAACTTTGACACATTGTGTGAAAGCAGCTTTTGCCTTTTCTGTTGAGAGAGGTCTTGCAGTCGCGACAGTTTTACCCCTTTAACCATTATTGCTATTTACATTATTTACTAAAAGGGGAAAAATGTGCTTCGGAATTTTGTATTAATGTCTCACTCAGGTTGTTGAGTAAATCTCCTTTTGCCTCAGCAGGAAAAGTTGCTGTCGTGGAAAACGTTGAAGATGCCCTTGTGCAGAATAATCTGCCCGCCGAACCGCCGCAGAACCTGCCCACACACACCTGACCAGCGCGTGTGCGCACGCACACACACACACACACACACACACACAACCACACACACACACACACCCACACACACACACACACACACCCACACCACTTCATGGGAGGCCAAGTGAAAAAGTATGTCCTGTCCTCAAGTTGGGCACGTGCTCATGAGAAGTCTTCATTCGATCCTACAGATTTTTGCTGCTCTGACTTTGACAGATGTGAGGAGTGCACAGGGAGCCCAATGGTCTCCAATAGCATTGGTGAGGGTATCATTGAGGAAGAGGAAGAAGAAGGAGAAGAGTCCAACAAGAAAAGAATGAAGGAAGATGACCAAGAGGTTGCGTGTTACATCTGCAATCTGGCCAGACGTCACAAATTTGACAAATCACAAAAGCCATACATTTCTTTGTGTCCCCGTATCTTGTGTATGTGAAAAGCTGTGATTTGTTTCAGATGAAAAAGGAAAGCATGTTCACGTGGCGGGTCGATTTGGCAAAGACCGAGAAGTATTGGGAGGGCTGGTTTAAAGGCCTGTCTTCACTTTTTCTCACCTGCTCTGTGCCCAAACTGCTCCTGCTCGCGAACACGATCACACACACACACACACACACACACACACACACACACACACACACACACACACCTTTTATGTGCACTGATAAGACATTAGGGGTTGTACAGACTAGTCGACTTGACTACTCCACAATGACATTTCAAGCGCATCATCGACTAGTCGCTAAATACGAGTTTGTGGTTTGAGGAGGAGGCAGAGCCATTAGCTATAACCAGTGAGGGATTATTTCAATTTATGCATTAGTTTTTGTAAGCCCACCATTCCTTTGCCCATGGCCAGCTTAATTGACATCAGAGCATCCCAGCGCCTGTTTGTGATGCACTATGGCTGTCAACACTCCTCCACCGCATTCGGAATAATGGGAGAAACGCCTGCTCTGAGCGTTTGGCTTGTTTCATCATCACAGGTAGTTGTAGCAGGCCTTCTGCTGCATGGTGTTTTGAGAAACCTGATATGGATCGGGACAATTGTACAGTGTGGTTCAGTTATTGCGGGTTCAGTGCCTTGTTGGCTAATTGAATAGCCTACTATAGCTAGTTAGAATGAATTGTAATCCTGAATAGGTGGTTTAGCCAGATGGAAGATGGGAAAACAGCCACTGGTGCTCTTTCAATTGCTTTATTAGGCAAGTCAAGGCAAATTGTATTTATATAGCCCATTTCATGCATAAAACTCAGTGTGCTTCACACAACCAAAAGCACGACACCAAACAGAACAGCGGGAAGACATTCAAAGGCAGAGCAAAGAGAACAAAAGTAGCTTATCAAAATTACTAAAGGAGCATACATTGACAACATTTAAACGCATTTACAAGCAAAAGATGAACATTCAACAAATGATATCAAAAGTCAGTAATCAGAGACACATTCTTAGCACACCTGCAGGTAGCCTCAACTACCATCGTCATTGAAAACTAGGGACTCTCAAACTATAGTCAGGAAATTCTTTCCATTAGTCCTTATTCAGATTGCGGCCCCAAGTGGAGAAAAATAATACTGTACCTGCATCTCACATTGTACTGCGGTGATGCTTGGTGATGAAGTGTAGGCATGAAACTTTAAAATATATAAAAAATACAGTCAATTCTTGGTTGCTACTTAAAATCATTTACTTACTTTATATGACTAAACACCCGCGATATTTGAGAGATTACTACGCGTAGGAGCATAATGACGCCCATAAAGCGCCTCACACTTCTTGCCAGATGGCAATTTTACAGAGCTGCTCTGTGCAATTGCAAAAGCTCTGATGTCAAATGCTGTTGGCTTCACGTCTGTCCGGATGATACCTGAAGCTAAATGGAGAAAAACGAAGTCCACATTGACTTTTGGGACATCCTGCATTTCTCAATGCTCAGCTTTGGTATGTTCGGGAAATCAAGTAAAAATGAAAAAGGTGTCTCGAGCAAGATTTGGAACCACTTTTTAGCCCATAACAGTAAATTGGAAGGAGGGTGGGCAGTGATTCCAGTGCACACCAAGTGCTCTGTAATTATATGCTAGTGGCCACCATACAGAGGCCGCTTCTGTGGTAGGCCCACAACTAGAACAGGTGTCCTCGTTTGGTCACGTTGTATTTCCTGTCTCCCAGCGGCAAGCACACCAAATAGGATTTTTTTTTTCCCCCTCTGGCTGGAAATAGCTTCATGCCGACGTCCCATCCATTTTATTGATGAAAATTGATTATTGCAAAGTATTCCCTCGTCCTGGAGTTTTTTTTTTTTTAATAGTACTGTATTGAGAAAATATTAATGGCATCATCTGCGACTAGTCGACTTTCATCACGTTAGAGTGTCGACTTAAAGTTGTGCAACCCCTACAACATGAAGAATTGAACAGAAGTTAAATGTTCTTTTGTTGTGATGAAATGAAAAATGTTCCGTTTCATTCTGGGTTGCTGTAATTTTAAATAAATTCTTAATTTATGTCTAAACTGCTGAATTACTTGCTTTTATTGAAGCTTTTTTCTTTTAACTGAATTTGAGTGTTTAGATTTGAATTTGATGCATTTGAAAAATATTCAAGGATTCCTTTTTTTAAATGGCTGCTTCACATCTGTGTTGGATGGAACGTTGCACAATTCTTCCCAATAAGTCGATGGAATTCTGTGCAAAAACGATGTGAAGCACTTTGTTTAAATGAGTAACATCATTGCTGGTTGAATTGCCTTGGAACATCTTGCCACCCCAGCCCCTTTTTCAAAAATTAGTACTGACTTTCAGGATGGGGAATCATCATCCCGTCCTGTCACGTCTTCCTGCAGACCCCCACTTTTGCAGAGATGTTTCACTCTGGACAATCCTCGTGTACGGTACCTGCCTCCTGTCTGTCAAATGAAAATGTCACTGGGATGTCTGAGGTGGGTGTTCATTCCAATATCCCCGGGCAAGGATGTGGCGTGTCTTAAACCATTCAAAAAACAATATTTGTATTTTTTTCCTGATGGATCAAACTCATGCAACTCCTACATTGATAAATGTTTTTTAGAAATATTAAAAATTTTCTGAGACGAATATGTGACTACAGTATATTATGAGCATATTTATTTTTTGTCTTTAAATTTCTGCAAGTTTTCAATATGCAATAGACCTATTAAGTCTCATAGTTCACCAGCATATTAACTTCATATTGGGTGTGTTAAAATTGATCAATGCAACATATATCACTGTCAGTAATACTGTACCATAATTTCCACTGTTGCACTCATTTACAGATGTTACTATGGCATTATTATATATTAAAATTATATGCAGTATTCAAAATTTTCTGACCACTTGCTAACTGCGTTTTTTCAATTTTTTTTTTTTTGGAGTTTTCCATTAAAATTTCTTTCACTCCATCATTAATACTGTATTTTGTTTTAGTCAGCGATCTTCAAACGTAAAAACGTGTATCCTTGTCTTTTGACACCAATGTGTCAATTTAAGTGCTGTAGTTGGAAAGGTTTTGCGAAAACAGTAAATCCTCTCTTTCTCGTGGAGCAAAAGCCCGCCTTCGCTCTGCTCTTACTGGCTGACGGCTAACTGAAATAAACGATGAATGCACACGTTTATTACAGTATTTTTGAACATAAATTTATTAACAAATTAAAATAAAAACACTTAAGTACAACATTTTAATGGTGCCGTAGAAGTGAACCCGACTCGTTTTGTACCTGAACGTGTTGAAAAGAAGCAGAAGCGGGGCTTGATGACGTCATTTCACAGGTGATGGAGATGCGGGGAGGGACGTGACAGGAAGCGGTCAGGTGCACGGAAACGTCAAGTTGATGGGCGGAAAGTGTTGAGCACAGGCTTCAAAATAAGAGTGTTAAACTTTTGTTGTAGATGTTATACATTCATTTCGGTACTGTGTTAGGTAACAATGATAAGATATTTTAATTCATAAAGCGCATTTCATTCAAATGTAAAATTTGTTTAAAAAGAGGGCTAAAGTATAAAGGATTATTCATTATTATTTTAATAATTGAGTGACTTGTACATAATGTGGCCCTGTATTTGGTTAAATTAGCAGATTAACTATCATCAATAGAACTATATTCAAATAAACAAACACTCACATATCATTGACAGGTAGGTAAACTTTTACACACTTCGACAGTGTTAAACTTCGAATTGGGTATTTTTGTTTGAAAAATGTGAGAATTTTTGAGTGACCGGTGACTTGAATAATTGCAATTAACTGTAAAAACATAAAGGGCTCCTCCTTGAGAGGTAGAAATTAGCTGGATAGATAACTCAAAAGTGGATCCGGACATTAGAAGGGATTGAATTTGAAAAAGTACTGCACGTTACAATCATACTTTAAAATCTAACATGCAATTGCTATTAGTAGTCATTCACTATTTCATGCATGACCTCACTCTCAAAAACGTGGATTTGTAGCCATAAAACAAAATCATTTGAAATGACAGCATTAAATGCGTTTATTCATCCTATGTGTCAAGTGCTCTTATTGCGACATCAGCTCCGGATGTAGCCTTGGCGCAGAGCGTCCGTCTTGACACACCTCCCGGGTACCGTCGCTCCCATCTCGGAGGGAGGAGATGTGGATGTGGAGCGGGCTGCTCAGTAACCTCACCGGGCTGGAACCGTGGTCAACTGGCTGCTACTCCGCCACCGGTCAAGATAGAGGCGGGAGGGCCTCCTTTTGTTCCTGTCCTCGCTGGACCATGACACGGGTAAGAACGAGAAGCCACCGCGGCGGCTCCAGCGGGCCCCGGAAATCATCTTCCTCATTTTCACCATCATCATCACCATCATCATCCTCATCATCACCACCATCATCATCATCATCATCGGTGGTGGCTGTTTTACCATCCAGCTATTTATATGGGCGGGCGAGGGGTGAACAGACGTTGGCATATTCAGCTCAAATAACCATTTCCACCATTTTGAAATGTCACCCATGTCTTAATTAGGCTTCGTCTAGGCGACAGGATGATTGACACCTCCCAGCGTTACGCCACGTCTGGGACCGTTCGACGAGCCGCCCCCCACCCACAGCCCCCACCCAGATCCTCCCTGGCAACAAGAACACCCTAACAGCCGCATTTTCTCACAAAATATCGTCTTTTTTTGGGGGGGGGGTGTCTGTACGCCGCCATTCGAGACGTCTTTTCGCGCGCACGCACGATCTCCACCATGACAACGCACGCCCCCCTCCCCCCCATTCCCTCCACTTCGCGCTCTCAGTGGAGTTATCGCGATATTCTGCTTTCAGCGAGCACTTCCTGCATGAAGATATTTTTTTAAACACATCAAACAGGGAAGTGGGTGGACCCCAATTCAATTCGGCTTGGAGACCTTCCAGTATGTGTAGAGTCAACACCTGCATATTTGCAGTTTGGAATTATTTTCTTATTCACAGATTTTAGGTGAATCTATCTTCCGGTATTGTCTTAAAAACTCACCTATTTAGCCAAAAGTGAATACAAGTGTTATTTAGCGCCACCTTTTGGCATCTTAATGCCAAGGAGTTAAAAGGTCTGGTTTGCCCGAAGTTGTATTTCAAACTAAAACTCCAAATCTTCACCTTCAACGTGGAGCAGGTGTGTGCAACCCTTTTTTGACTGAAGATCTACTTTTTGAGTAACCAACGTCCTAGATTGACCAGTTATTGCACGTGCACGCATACACACATGCACACGTGTGCTTACGCATGCATGCATGGCATGATGAGCCACAGCCATAACAGCCCCTAACACGAATGAAACAAAAAGAAAGTAGAAACTCACTGCCTACCTTAGTAGATAGAAACCTAATGCGGAGGCATGGGACTCACTTTTGCAGCGTGTTAACTGCATGAACATCACAATCGTAGCTCACATGTACCATTTAAAAATGCTTCTCCTAGCGCTCCAGATTCCCATTCTTTGCCAGTGCTACCGGTCAATCGCGATCGACTAGTTGTAGAGATCCTCAGGTGTTTGCTTCGTTGAGTGTGTGAGAAGAGGCCGCAAGCATCAGGCAAAGCCTTATTAAAAAAGATTATTTTTGTTTTCCTTCATTTTAATGCATTTTTTTCATCTTTTTTTTTTTCTCGTTTCTCTCTCAATATTACAACTTAAAAGCCTAGCATAGGGAATGCTGGAAACTAGAGTGTGTTTTTTTGTCCATATCCAGGTTCCTCTGTGACCTTGCTGAAAAACCTGGGCCGGGGGTCCGAGGCCTTCCTCCCCCCGTACCTTACCCTTTACCCAGCCGGATCACCTCTCCCCTTCCTCCCTCCCAAGCAAACCCTAGACAGGCCTCAATATGATGTGTGAGGTGATGCCCACGATCTCAGAGGATGGCCGCGGCGGAGGTGGCGGTGGCTCGTCCTCGCCGGCGGGATCCGGCAGTGGACTTGGCGGAGGTATCGGAGGTGGCATGGGCAGCTATGCTAGCCGGGATCCCCGCGGCAACAGTGGTGATGAAGGAGGCAGCACGGGCAACCTGGAGTCGTTGATGGTCAATATGCTGACGGAGCGAGAGAGGCTGTTGGAGAGTCTGAGGGAGACCCAGGACAGTCTGGGAACGGCCCACCTGCGACTACGAGAGCTTGGACACGAGAAGGAGTCACTACAGAGGCAGCTTTCCATCGCTCTGCCACAGGTTGGAACAATTGCCTCCCCTAGCCCCTTACCCAGACCAAAAAAATGCTTATAACGCTTAATTCACGCATACACATTTATTTAAAAATTAATATCTTCTTGTATCATTTTTGTAAAAGCTGCTGTGATATCATTTTTCAAAGAGGGTAAAGAATACACAGAAATGAGTATTTTTATACTGTCTCTCTGCATGTTTTGCTGCGCCATTTGTGTTCAAAAAGCAGTTGATTAGAAGTTCATATCTACAGCTACATTGGTGCTAGTTTTATTAGCCCATCAATGGCTTTTGGTATTGGGCGTTAGCCTTAAGATAATGGACTTTTGAGTAAAGTAATTAACTTTTTATTTTATTTATTTATTTATTTTTGATTGTCCAGTTCCGTTGTGCCCAACCTCTGTGAGTTTGGATGAGAGAGAGAGAACATATGAAAAAAAAAAAAAAAACATCACTGAGCGCAAATAAGATAAGAAAAGATAAGAAAACCTTTATTTTCCCCGCAATGGAGAAAATAATTATCATCTTGTGGCGTGTCACGCTTGATACAAAATGGAGGCCGCAGAAACTAGCGAGAAGGGTACGGAAAGCGCGTGATGCACTTCCTACCAGCTTTTTTATTTTAACTCGGCCCAAAAATTCTCCCAGAATCCTTTTGGGCCCACAATTGGCCATCTGTCAGACAACCGTCCTCTCATTTTTTTTCCAACTTGTGTTCCTTTCCTAAAAATAGGGATGTTTATCACTTCAGCCAGCATGTATTCCTTCCACGTTGCTGTGATGTGGATTTCTGACCTGTCTCTTTTTTTTTTTTGCATATAAGCTTACTTGTTAACCTGG